TCGTCGTCCAGCAAGCTGTGAGGAGGATCTTACCAAGGATTCCGTAATGCTCTTCTCTTGCCTTCTGCTCCGTGAAGGATGCATTTGTATATTCACGGTAAACAATTTTTCGGTAAGTCCCTCCAATCCTGGTAGCACCCCTTTCGAAATAGATCTCGGACTCACTGTGCAGAGAAAGTAAGTGCACAAAGAACATTTACACGAACTTGTAGTGATGGTGTGAAAAGACAGCAAGAATCTGCCCACATTTAATCACAAAACTTGCAATTTCTTACCAGCCAAGTCCTATTTCATCAGTATGTTTTGATGATAAGAAGCCTTCACTCTTTCACAGGGAGCTGTGTTCTACAAAGGAGCCCTGGTGATGTAGCAGGTCGCACACTGGGCTGCTAACTGCAAGGTCAGCAGTTTGAACCCACCGCCTGCTGAAGCCTTAGGATCTAGTCAAGATTTCCAGCCTCCCAAATCCAAAGGGGCAATTCTACTCTTGTCGTAGAGGGCTGATATGAATTGGAATCCACTCCATATTGGTGGGTGTGGGTTTTTTCTATGTGTGTGTGTGTGTGTGTGTGTGTGTGTGTATATAATAAAAAAACTAAATTATCTTTATTATTGAACCATAAGTATTTCAAACAGTGATGGGTACCTTCCAGGTGCTGTTAATCTGTTTCCAGTGAAAACATTTATCCCAGATGGAGCATAGTTCCATAGAATATCTTCTGCAGCAATGTAGTAATGTTTCACATTTGTGCGGGTAATGTTTGTGGAGGTATTTTGGCAATTCCTTACATCAAAAAAAGCCTGCATGCTTGCTGAAAAACAGTAAATCCAAATGATTAAAAACAATTTAAACAATTTTCTAAACCCACATTTAAAAAAATTAACCAACAAGATTGAAGTTTCCCTTGTCTTTGAGACATTTGAGGCATTTTATTTAGGGAATTTGGATAAAATCATAAAATATGTGAACAATAAATTTGCTGCCATTGAGTTGATTCTGACCCATGCTGACCCTATTGGACCAAGTCAAGCTCTCCTAGAGCATTTCCAATGCTCACAGAAGTAGGCTGTTACATCATCCCCCCACAGATCAATTGGTGGGTTTGAACCACGGACCGTTTGGATAACAGTCAACCTCTTTAACCACTGTGCCACCTCTGCTCCCAAACCAGGATGCAAAGATGAATATTAAAGATACATATATAACTAGAAAATCCCAACCAGCATTAGACCAAGAGGACATTTGCCTACAGAAAAGAATTTGAGAAACTATTTGGCCCCAAACAACTTCCCCCATTGGTAAAAAATTCCCACCAAGAGTCACTGAGTGAGTTGGCTTTCCAAATCAATTTTTTGGCAGGCAGGAAGCAAATCAAACCAAGTCTGTTTCCATGAAGGCATCGGTCTTGTGTTTGATTTCCAGAAGCGAACACTATTGTCTAGAGTGTAAATTAGTCCAGAGTTTTCACAAGATCATTTGACAACACTTGGTAAAATGAAAAGCCCTTCAATTATACCATTTCCCTTCTTGGCAGTTAGCCAAGAGAAAGATTTGCACATGGATTGAAAGAGACTTACACAAAAGTCTTTGTAGTATTATTTATAAACCAAACAATTGGAAGCAACTTAAGTGTCCAACAGTAGGCAAATGGTTGAGTCAACTGTCATATACCCAAACTATGCCGGGGATGTGACCGCTTAGAAGGAGTTCCATCTATAAGGAATGTCATGGAAGCAATTTCAAGATATAACTGAGGAATGAAGAAAGAACTCCTAGCGTACGTATATCATGATCTACTTGTATAAGTGCAGAGCACAAAACAAACTTATGCATTTTTCTTTCCAGAGTCCAGGTGTATGTGAAAATGCACAGCAAACAGTTGCTAGTACACACACCAACTTAAGGACACTGGTTACTCTCTGGGGAAGGAGCTGGAATTTGGTGGGCTGGGATTGGGCCAGGAGTCTGCTCTTAAACAGTCTTTCCAAAAACAAGCAAACAAGTCTGATTTATAGCATTTGCCAACTTTTACAGTGTCAATAAACCCACTGGCCGATTCGAAGCTGTGAACAGTTTCACAAATGGCTTAGTCAGCGTTCTCTCTCTGGTTGAGGGCCGACTCTGTCCTTTCTGCAGAGCCAAGGACCTGGCTTGGGGCCATTGTCATCATCAACGGAGGCAAGTAGGAGCAATGGGCTGCGTGCATGTTCCTCGCTTCCAGAAATGGTCTTTCTCTCTGGGCCCGGGCTCTGCGGCATTCACTTCAGTCGTTGAGTGATTACAGAGCTGCATGGTCCTCGCTCTCCCACAACCCTGGCCGGGGCCTAAACAAGGACGATAAAATACAACGGAACCCACTGCCCTCAAGTGCCTCTGACTTACAGCCACCACACGGACACAGCAGAACTGGCCGCCAGGCTGGAATCCGGGAGCAGAGTGCTACATCTTTCTCCCACAGAGCGACTGGCCTTTTGGTTAGCAGCCGAGCGTTTCATCATTGTGTCCCCAGTGTCCCTTCCAGCGGGGTGTTGACATAATCACTCCTGACAAATACTTGGTGTGCTGTTTGACTAATGGCAGCATCGTGCCAACCGAAGGATGGATATTGGAAAAGAAACATTGGTGCTCGGAACAGTCAGCTGCCTCCTTTCCTTTTTTCGACCAATGTTTAAGTTTACCGTTCTTGTCACCATATGACTGCAAAGACAGACCCTTACAAAGTCAAAGTCAGGGTCGATCTTATCAGCCTCCCATCACTGAGTCCATCCTGCCTTGAATAGACACGGCCCGGGCTTTCCAGGGCTTTGTTAATCTGACCGAGCCGATAGCCTCCTTTCTCTCTCGAGAAGCTGCTGGTAGGTTTGATAGCTGGCCTTGAGGTTAGGAGCCCAAACCTTACTTCACAGAGTCAGTGGATTACCACTGGGATAGGAAAAGTTCAATACTTGCATACCTGATTATGACATTGAGCAGAGTGTATGACTGAGAGGCAAACAAACCAAAATAAGGAGGTTTTCTGGATTGGAATGGGTGGCACGATCATTTATGCTCAATCACTAACGTCAAGGTTGGTGCTCTGAAATCACCCAGCAATAGCACGTGAGGGCTAAGGTGTGCCTGGCCCAAGCAGGGGTATTTTCATTCATCTCTTGTGCCGTGTGAAATTTGGACATTGAATAAAGGAGACAGAACAAGGATTGAGGTATTGGAAGCGCAGGGCTGACAAACACAATGGGAAGCACCATGGAGTGCCAGAAGGACAAACTGATCTGTCTTGGAAGAAGAATGGGCAGGATGCTCCTCAGAAGCAAACACGGGAAGACTGCCTCTTACTTCATTTGGACATGTGGTCAGGAGAGCCAGGCCCCGGAGAAGGACAGCATGCTTGGTCAAGTGGAGGGGCGGGGACGAAGAGGAGAGCCCTTGATGTGATGGCGTGACCCTGTGGCTGCAACAAGGGGTGCAGGGAGAGAAACGATGGTGAGGACAGGGACGGCCCAGGCAGGCTTGTGTTCTGCTGGGCGTAGGGCTGCTGGGGGTCAGAACCGACCGGATGGCGCCTGGCCACAACAGCAAGCAGTGCCAGGGAAGACAGGCCAGGCACTGCTTCCATCAAAGATTACAGCCGCGAAGACGGTGCCTCCTGAGTAAGAAGAGACTTGACAGCAATGTTGTTTGTTTGTTTCAATTAGGGTTATGTGGTCCTGTGTCATTCCTGACTTATAAGAGTTTAGCTCACTATTTTACCGTCTTGGAACTTGTTTTCTCAGTTTTAGAAGGCTGATACTATCTCCCTTGCTTTGCACTCAGAGTTCTCACAGATGAATGGATGTAAAAATGCTGTGCCAAAACCAACCCCAAATCTGGTTTATCTCAAAGGGGTTGTCATCCCAGAGCCCTGAGCCCTGGCCTTATTTCTGCGATGCTTTCCAACAGGCATCCCTAGGTATTCGTTTCTCTGCTTGTAACAGGAGGTGTTTGGAAACAGGCAGTAGCCTTGGAGGTTCGTTGATACTGCAGTTGATACAGAACGAACAAATCCCTACCGTGGATGTGACATCCCAGCATCCACTCCCCAGGACCCTTGGCCACCATGGAAGCATCGTGCATTGAAGCGGGAAGTATGGTGATGATGTCTTTTCTGTGGTTCCGGAAGATCAGCGTTTGTCCCTGGAGGAAAACGGGGTGCACGTCCACGATGTTACCGATGCCGATGAAATACCAGTGGACGCTGTCATTCACGCACATGGTGAGAATAGGCAGGTTTCCATACATGTATCCATTTATTGCTGGAAACAAACACACAGTAACCTGTCAAGCATGGCAGACCAGTGTAACCCAGTCCTCACTCATAGCCCACCACAATGTTTGGTCTGCGTCCCATTCAAAAGGCCATTCACATTGTGCAAGGTGAGAAGGGATCATTACACAAAGGTCCCAAATCAGAGGTGGTGGAAAGCGAGCAGAAGGGCAGGAAACCGGGAGAGGGACAAGAATCGGGAGCGGAGATAACTCTGTGAAGAGGGGTTGGCCTCAAACAGGACTGAGATTCTGAGAGCATCTTTGCTACAAAAACTTGTTGGGTAGAAATAACTTTTCATCAAGTGTCTGGTCAGTTACATGTATATTCTTGCATGGCATTTTATTACCTTAAGAGAACATCTCTTCTCTATCTGATTCTAACATCCACTTTCAATCAACATCAGACTTTAGGAAACAAATATTACTCTCTAGTTTTACTTGCTATGAAAATTTGAAAATGTTCTAGGTGTCTTGCCTATCAATCAGTAAAACATCAAAAAATAGAAATCCGCATAAGGAAGCTTGAACAAAGGAATCTCCCAAGAGAACCTCAGAGAATCAGAGTTATAGGATATGTTAAACGAGAAGTTTCTTTACACTCTCACCAGCCATTTTATTGCTCGCCTGAAAGTCCGGATCACTAGCATTCACCTTGCCAGGTTCAGTGTATGTCTTAATGTTGTCATCAATATACCAGCTATTGTTTTCATCAGTGATAGAAAACATCATAGCATAAGACTTGTCGATATAAATTTCTATGCCTCCTGTCAGGATCCCTGGAAAAGAAAACACAATTTTTATATTGCTAACAGATAATGCCAACATTAAAAATAGAACCATTCTAGTTGGAAACAAATAATCTATAATGTTTGGTAATTGTCAGGACACATGCAAAAGGAAAATGCTTGTGGCACAGTACAAAAAGAAAAACCCCACCAATAATAAGATCAGAGATCAGATCAGATCAATAGTAATAACAATCCCACCATATAATCATAATATATGTGTGTACACCGTTCAAAAACCCATACTCATTTTTACTTCAAATGAATAACTTTCTGAAGTGTTTGTCTCTGATAACCATCATCATACAAGAGTTTTTTCCCTCTCAAATGTTGTGCTTCCTCAAATCAAGTACAACTGTAGCTCATAGCCCTGAATGTATTCATTTATGCATACGTTTAACAACAAACAGCCATTTAGCATCTGTCATGTGCCAGGTGATATAAGGGGTGCCACATAATAGAGTGAGTTCCTAAGAGGGAACAAGGTAGGCTTCTATGTGGGCCTTAAAATGTGGGATGGAAACCATTGAGAAATAAGGAAAGCAATATTGTAGGAAAATCTCTACAGTAGGGGAGGACCAGAGACTGGGGAACAATCGAGTCCAGTGTTGACTTGGTTAGTATATAAAGGTGGAACAGACGTTGCTATCGAAAGGATTCATAGGAATTGCTAGAGTCCCGTAAGGTGACCAGATTTTAACATTGGTAAAATGTAAAAAAAGCGGGACACCACTGACCGGGGTGGGGAGTTGGGGGGTTCTTGATTAAAAATTTGGTCTTCCTGTTCTCCCGCCATTCCCTAGCTTGTTGTGCATTCTTTCCAAAAATTGGGACTTTTAAAAAATGCCGCGGGACGCAGGACAAATTGTTAAAAATCGGGACTGTCCCGCCAAAAGCAGGATGTCTGGTCACCTTAAAAGACACCAATGACGAGAAAGGGATTTTGGAATGTATCCCAAGAGCAATCAGCAACCATTGAAGGCGTTTAAACCAAGAAGTGTCAAAGGGGCCAAAGCCCAGCGTACTGGGTTTGACTTCCCTCTAGTGACCAACTTGCATGACCAGGACTGGAACGTCAGGGTGAGGCTCCTGCTTCCACTGACTGCTCAGCCTCTAAAGACAACTTGACGTTCTTCTCTGGAGAATCAAGGTCAAACTCGGGAGAGGGAACGACATTCTACCACGGGAGCAGGTGTGAGCCCTCACATTCAGGCTCTAGGGCTATAACTTGAGAGGTTTAAAAATGCGTTACCTCCTTTACAAGTCAGAACCAGTCCGATCAGGCCCGAAGCCACATCTCTGACAGTGTTTAGGTGGGAGTGGTACATCCTGACCACGCAGTCGCCGTCACTGGGGCCAGGCCCCTGATTCTCGTCCACATACCACTTGTAGATGTACTCCTCCCCAGGCATCACGTAGTCATCATCCCTCTGTGCCGCCGTGCTGTTATCCGGGTAGACAGCACCTGGAAAACCGACTCTGCCCTGTGCTTACCGTGACCATTGGACAACCGCCTTGAATTCACCCACACATTTCCCACGGAACCACTATTATAGGTTCCTTTGTGTTTTCAAGCAAAGTGTGCATTTCACCTTCTTCTTCTTTCTTCCCCCTGAATTCCCAGCTTCACTCCATCTCTAGAGCAAACTGGCAGGGGACAAGCAGTCTTTTTTTTTAACATTTTATTAGGGGCTCATACAACTGTTATCGCAATCCATACACACATCAATTGTGTAAAGCACATTTGTACATCGTTTCTCAAAACATTTTCTCTCCACTTAAACCCCCGACATTAGGTCCTCATTTTTCCCTTCCCTCCCCACTCCCCCCTCCCTCATGAGCCCTTGATAGTTTATAATGGGTATTTTGTCATATCTTGCCCTGTCCGACGTCTCCCTTCATCCACTTTTCGGTTGTCTGAGGGGACAAGCAGTCTTGCCTAACATCTCTCACTGCCTGGATTCATCCATTCAACACACACCTGCTATGCTCCTACTGTGTGCCCCACTTGTCTGACAGTTGTGTGGTGGTGGTGGTGGTGGTGGCTTGTGTGTTGTTCTGATGCTGGGAATTGTGCCACTGGTGTTCCATAGAGCTAATATTGGTTCCCTCCTTGGTGATTAAGTGCCAGCAGAGCTTCCAGATGAAGAACAAACTAGCGAGAAGGAATAGGCGGCAGTCTACTTCTGGGGGATGAGCCACTGAAGACTTCAAGGGTAGCAGAGGAACATTGTTTGACAGAGCGCCAATAGAGGCGCGCCTCAGGTGAGAAGGCACTCAGAGTACATCTGGGGAAGACCTCCTTCCTTGGAGACCACCTCAGTGAGGTAGGTGGGGTAAAGCTTTCGGGAGCTCCATTGGCTGATGGGGCATGTTTCAAAATGAGAAGAAACCACTGCACACATCCAGTAATAAGCAGAGACAATCTAGGACAATTCAACGTGATAAAAATAGATAGAAAGAAAGAAACAGGGCACAAAAAGACCGATATCCTAGGCATTAGTGAGCTGAAATGGACTGATTGGCCAATCCATGTCGAATCAGATGATCATATGGTTTATTATACCAGGACTGACAAATTCAAGAGAAATGGTGTTGCATTCATCATAAACAAAGAAACCAAAACATTCTTAGTCTTGAAATACACGGCTATATGTGATAGGATAATATCTACCCACCTACACGGAAGACCAGTTAATACAACTTCTATTCGGATTTGCGTGTCAACCATTAAAGTCAATGCTAAAGAGATGAAAGAAGTCTATCAACTTTTTCAGTGTGAAATTGACCAAATATGTAATCAAGATGCAAGGAAAATTCCTGGTGACTAGCATACAAAAGTTGAAAACAGAGGAAGAAGCAGTCGTCCAAAAAGATAGCCCAGGTGAGAGAAACAAAGCTGGATAAAGCACATAAAATTGTACAAGTTTAACAACTCATGCATCGCAAATACTTTTTCAACAACAGTGAAAACAGGTGACTCTCTAGGTGGACCTTGCCAAATGGGATACACAGGGATCAAATTGACTATCTATGTGGGAAGAGACAACGGAGAGGCCAAAACATGGCCAGGAGATAACTGTGGAAGAAGCCTTCAATTGCTCATGTGCAAGTTCAGGTTGGGATTGAAAAAGTTTTAGAAAGTCCACGAAAGCCAAAAGATGACCTTGAGTGTTTAGAGACCATTCCTAGAACAGATTTGATACATTGACCACTATGACCAAAGACCATATGAGTTATGAGATGGCATCAAGAACATCATCCATAAAGAAAGCACAAGTTCATTAAAGAGACAAGAGAGAAATAAAAGACCATAGTTAATGTCAAAATTAACTGAAATTTGCTCTTCAACGCAGTTAGAGCAAATGGAAGAAATGATGAATTAAAAGAGTTGAACAGAAAATTCCAAAAGGCAGCTCAAGAAAACAGAGTAGAGCATTATCATGAAATGTGCTGGATCTGGATCCAGCATATATCAAATGTCAAGAACTGAAGAAAAAACTCAAGCCTGGAGTTGCAATATTGAAGGATTCCATGGGCAAATATTAAATGATGCAACACAGCTAACCTCACTGATGTTGAGCCAATGCTGACTCACAGAGACCCCACAGGACAGAGAGAAACTGCCCCGCGAGTTCCCAAGGCTGCCCATCTGTACAGGAGCAGAAGGCCCCATCTTTCTTCCACAGAGCAGCTGATGGTTTCAAACTGCTGACCTTGTGGTTAGCAGTCCAGTGAGTAATCTACTTGCCATAAGGGCTCTTTGAAGGATGCAGGAAGGATCAAAAGGCGACGAAAGGCATGCATAAAGTCACGGCACCAAAAATAATTGGCTGACATTCAAGTGTTTCGAGAGGTAGCATATAATTAAGAACTGATGGTGTTAGAAGAAGCCCAAGCTGCAGTGAAGGCATTAATAAAAGTCAATGCTCCAGGAATCAGCATATATACTAATTGGAATGTTTCTACAAACTGATGTAACATTTTAGAAGACAGCTATCTGGAAGAAATCCATATGATATCCACTTCCAAAAAAGGTGACCTGGTAGAATGCTGAAATTATCAAATGGATTCATTCATATCGCATGCAAGTAAATTTTTGCTAAAGAAAATTTAAAAAACTGTTGCGGCCATCTATTGAAAAGAAATCACCAGAAATTCAAGTTGGCTGCAGAAGGGGACATGAATGAAGGGTGTCTTTGCTGACGTCAGAGGGACCTTGGAGGAAAGAAGAGAATACCAGCAAGGTGTTTGCTTCCGTCCTACTGACTATGCAATGGCACCAGCTGTGTGGATCACAGTGGATTGTGAATACTTGCGAAGAATGGGCATTTCAGCCATGTCATCATGCTCACATGGATCCTGTACATAGACCAAGTGGCAATTCTTTGAACAGAACAGGGGATACTGCATGGTTTGAAATCGAGAAAGATGTGTAACAGTGTTGTGTCCTGTCAGCAAACTTATTCATTCTGTGTGGCGAGCAAATACTCGGAGAAATGGGACTATGTGCAGAGGACTGCGGCATCAGGGTTGGAGGAAGGCTCCTAACTGTGATATGAAGACGAAGCAACTTTCCTTGCTGACATTGGGAACTCGAGCTACTTACTGATGAAGATCATTTACAACTCAGTGTGAAGCAAACAAGGATTCTCACAAATGGACCAAGAGACAACAGCATGCTAAAGAGAGAAAAGATTGAAGTTGCCAAAGATTTCATTTTGCTTGGCTACACCAACAATCTCACGGAAGCAGCAGTCAGGAAACTAAGCAGCACACTGCATTGGGCGCAGCTACAGTTGAAACCCTCTTAAAAGTGTTCAAGAGCAGAGATACCACTTGAGGATTATGGTGCCCCTGACTCAAGTTATGCCATTTTCAATCACCTCCTATGCATATGAGAGCTGCACGACGAAGAAGGACGGTCGCAGGAGAATTCATGCATTTGAATTATGGTGTTGGCAAGGACTGCCGGAAGAACAAATAAATCTGTCTGGGAGGAAGACAGAATACTCTTCAGAAGCCAGGATGGTGAGATGTCATCTTCTGTGCTTTAGATGTGTTCTTAGGAGAGACCAGACCCTGGAGAAGGATCACGCTTAGTAAAATAGAGGATCAGCCACAAAGAGGGAGACCCTTAACAAGATGGATTGACACAGTTCCCCTAATAATAGGCGCAAACACAACAATTGTGTACGTAGGGCTGATCTGATAGGAACCGGCTTGCTGGCAGCTAATCACAACAGCAATTTACTCCAGGACACTCATTTTATATAGGGTGTTTTCAAGAGATAGCTACGGTGACATGTCACATGGTTGGATCCTTCGAAGGTGAAATGGAGGGCCATGGGCCATTTTTGTCACCTTGTCTTTTCACAGAACAAAAGCAAGCCTGTGGGAAGAGCACAAACCCCTTAGAGGTGGTACTCTTAGCCAAGGATGGTTGAAGTTCTAATTTTCTGAAATTCTATGCCAGATGTTTAATGTAAAAGAACTTTGAACACTAGGGGAAAAAATCTCTTGTTTCCCCTATTGTTAGGCCAAGGAGGAGCCTCGGCAGCGTAGCGGTTATGCATTGGGCTGCTAATCTCAAGGTCAGCAGTTTGAAACCGCTAGCTGCATTGTGAGAGGGAGACGCAACTTTCTACTCCAGTAAAGAGTGGCAGTCTCAGACACCTACAAGGGCAGTGCTACCCAGTCCTAGGAGTCGCTATGAGTCTGACAGGACTCGATGCAGTGACTTTGTTTTCCTTTGGTTGATGTCCAGCCAAACCTCTCTTTTCCTGCCTTCCTGTTTGTGTTTTGTTGCCAGACATGAAGTGATCTTGCTGGATGTTTTCAGAAACGCAATCCTCCTCTAGTAAGAGATAGGAATGGAGAGAGGGCAGACAACATTTCTGGCCACCCAGCATTCAGCTCACGAGTGTCTCCTTCAAAAACTAAATAAAATTACTTTCATTCCTCAAGGAAAACTGTTTGTTTGGGTTTTTTCCCCATTAGATAGTGCATACGTGGAACCCTGGTGGCTTAGTGGTGGCGCGTTGGGCTGCGATCTGCATGGTTGGCAGTTCAAAACCACCAGCAGCTTCTCGGGAGAAAGAGTGGGCTTTCTACTTCCATTAGCAGAGTTAGAAGCCCACAGCGGATCACTGTGAGTCAGCACTGACTGGATGGCACACAGTCTGAGCGTTCTGAGCTTTGAGACCTTCCATGGGCTGCTCCTCCTTTAGGATGGGACATTAAGCCTGACCATCTAAGGACACCAGCTGCCAGATTCTGCATTCAGCTCCCTGTAGTTCATAGAGAGGACCGGCTCATTGGCATCATGCCTTTCCTAAAGCATTGTGTCTGTGCTCCTCACAAACAGAAGCTCAGGGAGGGCAGGAAAGGGGCTCACCTTACCTTCGTTGCTTTTACTGTAGGTGAGTCCGTGAGGATGAAAACTGTATGCTCTGGAAGCAAAATTTTTTACATGCACATAAATGTAGTCTCCAGTCTCTCCTCTTATGATTGGACCTAAATATCCCAACCAGGATGGCTTTTCAATGATGCTTTGAAACGTCTTATTCGTGTACTGGTAATATAATGCCTTTTTATACACAGATCCTATCCTGTCTGGACCTCTTTGAAGAAATATTTTGGATTGGAACTCCCTGTAAAAAAAATAATGAGAAAGAATAAATTTTTACTGGCAAGTGATCAAAAGTTCAATCAACAATAACTGGAAGTAAAACACTTTCCAGCCTGATTTTGATGGATTAAATCTAGAAAAGAGAGGAAAGAGGCACTGGGCAGAGGGGGACATTAGTGTTGCTGATGATGAGCTCAAAGGCAGCACAAGTAAATATACCTGGCATTTTTATTTTAAAGACATGTCAGATTCTTCTATAGAACCATCTATTTCTAAGCCCATTTTATTT